CCTCAGTAAGGCTAGCCTGTCACTAGTAGTGTGGCTTTTTGGCATACATGCTGTAAGATTGGGAATATTACCGGACACCGTCTGCAGAAGTTGTTWGGAAGAAGATGCGGTAGAAAGAAGCCAGCACTTCCTTCTTGACTGTCCCATGTTTGGGAGGTCAAGCCTTAGGCACTTGGRGGCGCATACCTTCAGACAACCTACCGAACTGGCGGGTATTGAAGTTAAACGCCTTAGCAAGGCGTTTTGCCAATCTGTATTTATATTTTCAATGGATTCACAAGGGCCTACAATAATCAGTCCACGTGCGATCTCTGATCTAACCTAACCTAAGGAAAGAGGGACTAGTTCGCGTATATACAGGCAGTCGAACGTAGTTAAATAGTCAGCTTGTCTCGCTGAGATCCATTCAGGTTACGTACATCATACCGCATGATGAATTTAAAATAATAAATATTACATATCTATTGACATTCAAGCAAAATAATTGTACACATTGAGATTATATACGTTTGCCAAAATACGACCCTCCAACAACTACAGAACAATGAGGTTAGGGCARGAAATACATACCATATGGTTTGTAGTATATGGTGGGTGATAGTAAGGTGAAGTACATAGTTACAAGTATAGTACATAGTTAGATGCACAGACTGGCATGTGGCAGCACAGGCATTTTCGGTGACAATGCAAATAACGTAAATGAAAAGTTGTATTCGCATGCTGGCACAAAGGCACTACGACGATTCCCTCTTCCCATTTCGTCCTGTTTTTGCGCGAAAATATGGAAAAGTCAAAGGGTGTGTACGCCATGGGTCCGTTTTGCTGGCAAAGGGTTTATATAAATGTACATAAACACATAAGCTGTGCATAACTGGGTGCGATGGAATTTATTTTTATATGAATAAATATTTTTGTATGTAAGTTCAATGAAATGCGAATGTGCAAAGTGCCGGCCATTGTTGGTGGCATGTGATAGCGCAAAATATTGCAAATGAATGGCATAGAAAGGAGTTGCATAGTATGTGTGAAATTATTTTTACTTTATTACAGCTTTGTGGGCGGACAAATGAGTTAAAACTGGACAAATAAAGGCCTTTTACTGCAGATAAGGCAGCTGTGTTGATGTGTAAATATTTGGTTGACTTCGGCATGGAATTTGTTTGTAAAGAAAATTATCATCAGAAAATAGATGAAATAAGCTTTTTTTGTACTTCGTATACGTATGTAGGTATGTACATATGTTTATAAAAAACACTACATTTATTAGTTTAATTAGTTATAGTAGTTAGGTAGGGAACACAAACGTTTGTACATACATATGTATGTAGTTTATTATTTTAATWTTATTTACATTKTCTTACCGTTAATTATAGTTTYTTAGTTAGAAATATGTAWWTAWYTCCTTTTTAGCTCTTTTCATTCCAGCTTTTGATATAAGATATAATATTTTT